GAGGAGGCTGAAACTTAAACAGGAAATACCCCTACATCATTCAGGGTTTAAAACTCATTGTGCAAGATCAATCTTTCTCTTCCCCCTGGGTTACCACATCTGTAAGGAGAGGCCCTTTTCAAGTGAAATGCTAAAAGAAAGCTAACTGGAAGTAGCTTTAGTTTTCCTGTGTCAAAAGTCATGGATCGCAGTGACGCTGTGTGGATTTTCCCCCCTTTGTGAGGACCTCGCTACGGACATCACAGCCTATCTGCAGGAGGATGCTTCCGCTATGATAGCCGCAAGTAAACCTTCCTCGACCTAAAAGCCCATCAAGTCCTCTGCTCTAGCATCACACTGACTTAAAATTTTAATGAGGTGCTTCGCTCGGGTGAGCAGGCAGATAGGATAAGTTTGAATCAATGCTGATGTTTAATCTGTGCTGGTTATAAGAACTCTGGTTTAATGGTTGAAATAAGTGTGTTGTGAAAAGCTGCAAGTGATATTTCTATCTTCCTTTCCTTCTATTCTGCTTCCTTCTCTTTCTGCCTTAAGGTAGTTTATAGAGAATTTTGTCACATTTACCACGTGTGGTCACGTGGTTGATGAACCATTGTTACAAGCCCCCCCCCCCCTTTCATCACATGAAAACAGGGGTCTCACACACACACATGTACACCCCCACCCACACACACACATAGCCCTGTCTATGCCACTTTGCTGAACGAACTTCTGTTGCTGTTGGTAATGCATTTTAACCATTTATCATTCAAGCTAAATGTATTTACGTTTTTTCAATTGCACTGTTATCACCATACCTGCTGCTATTCCAAACTGACATTATTGAATGTATTAACATCTGGCCTATCTTGGGCAACCTCAGAAGCCAATTAAACTGACTTTTTTTTTCTTTTAAACTAGTCCCTTATTTGCCTCGTGTTTAATTTTCTAATAGTGTTTAGTGTTTTGCATAGATGTTAGATTTCTGTGATCCTGAATTATTAGAATAAAGACGTCGTTGTTTAACTTGCAGTGGTTGTGATTGATATACGGGTGGTTTATCACTCAGGCCAGATCCACCCTTTTTTGTTAACAGTGTGAATAAACAGAGAAAAATTGTTCTTTGATTTGTAATTAATAGCTCTGCTGATAACCTAGCTGAGGTCACTAAATTGGTGGATATACCTGGATTTTAACAGCCGGTCCAGGAACCATCCAGAGGTGAAAGGCATACACCTTGGTAAGTAGGCAGATTAGAGCTACAATTATTCAACTAAGAACACTAAATTTAAAGTTAAATAATTAGCTTCTGAAGCTTCTTCCTTTTAAAATCGAGTTTTTCCTCTCCACTGTCGCTACTATCATGCTTAGTGTAAGGGATTGCCTTCGAGTCAATAAATCGATGCAATCAACTGGTTTTCCTTAGACAGAAAACTTTGCATCAATTTGACTGTATGGTCTGGTGAACTGTAAAGTGCCTTGAGATGACATGTGTTGTGCATTGGCGCTTTATGAATAAACTCAATTGAATTTAAACTGAATTAATAGCAGTTACCATGCGCCTGCTTTGCAGTAAACAAGCGCTATGACAATTATGCATAATGTTATACCATCTATGCTGCTGTAGTGGCCGTTGTAATTCCACATATCAACATAGAAATTGTGATTTTGTTAAAAGCTGTCATGCGTAATCATGGTGAAGTTGGTTAGAAGCCGGACATTGGTCGATCAAGCGCTGCAGGATCGGGCCCACAGCCAATCCGACCGAGGGATTTCGGCCAGTGCTTTTCGGAGCCGCTGACGGACTCCCTCAATCAGATCAACCGTGAGCTAGAACCCGCTGACTGCACGGAGCTTGAACATCCATCCTCGAACCCACGTCACTGTGATCATAATCATCCTACTTTATGTTAAAAAAACAAAAAACACACTCTGTACATTTGTGTATTGTGAAAAGTAGGGATTTTGCAATATTCATGTTTTAACACAATAGTAAGGAAGTCAGTTGTATTTACGTATAACTAAGATATCCCAACATATTTTTAAAAAAATGCGTGGTTAATCGTAAAAATATACTTACATTTCTATAGTTCTTTTCAACAGCCGGATGGCATTTATCCTTTCACTGAATAAGTTCTGGGAAACTACTTTGTTCCCAAGTCAGCTCCCGACCTCACTCTATCTCTAGGGATCTTTTAAGGGTTAGAGGGCACTTCTCCCTAGCTCTTAAAATTATTTGGACACACTAACCTTACATGTGAACACGCAAAACTGAGTGTTAGGGTCTAAAATGAGTTCAATTGAGAGAAATGGGACTGGGCCAAAGTCCTTGTCCTTAATGAAACAGGTTGGGAACCTCTCTTCAGCCCTGTAACCCTCCCAGTCAACCAAATACTGGGACCCCCTACCTCTCCGTCTAGACCTCAAAAGACGGTGGACTGTGTAGACCGGGTCCACAAGGAGGTGACTTGGAGGTGGGCTTAAACCTGGAGGTTAATGCAGATTTAACCCCGGAAACATGAAACCTCTGGTGGATCCTCAAGGAACCGAAACTAAGGAACCAAAACTGAGACCGAACAATGTGAATAGTCTTTGTAACACCCGGATGAAAACAGATGAGAACCATGACAGAACTCTAGGACCTTCCCTCAGATCATTAGGAAAAAACAGACCAGAAGGACAACCACCGGGAGAAGGTTGGTTGAGGAGGGCATGTCTGACATTACTCTAAATGTTAACCATGGTGAAAGCACCTCGCAGATTCAGATTCAAAATATACTCCTCTGCACCTCCGGAACGCTCCTCATCCACCTCAAACACCCTGGACAAAGCATCAGGTTTGACATTTTTTGACCCAGGTCTGTAAGACAGAGAAAAGTTGAACAGATCGATAAACAGTGCCCAACTTGCCTGTCTGGGATTAAGTCTCTTGGCTGACTTAAGGTATTCTAAATTTTTGTGGTCTGTCCTGAGCAGAAACGGAATACTTGAACCCTCCAACCAGTGTCTCCACTCCTCCAAAGCAAATTGATTGTCAGTAACTTTCTATCCCTGAAATTATAGCCTTCAACTTGTATGTTAGAAGCATGTTTGCTGTGAGGGATTACATTTGAGTCAATCAGTTGATGCAATCAACTGGTGCATTGGTGAGCCCAAAAGGCATCACCAGATTTTCAGTTGACCAGATTTTCAGCTGACCAGTGGGGGTGTTGAAAGCGGTCTTCCACTCATCACCTTCCCTGATGAGCACCAAGTGGTAAGAATTGCAGAGATCCATTTTGTAAAAAATCTTGGCCTCTGATCAAAAGCAGAGTTGATCAGGGGGATAGGGTACCGATTTTTTTTACAGTGATGTCATTGAGATCCATGAGGAATCCGCATGAGGGGAGAAGGGTTGGATAATATCTGCCCTGAGTTACTCGGAGATGTACTTCATCATACCATGGAATTCAGGGGCAGACAAGGAGTCTAACCTCCCCCTAGGGGGTGTGAAGGTCAGTAGGTTGATCTCACAATTAAAGGGTCCATGAGAAGGTAGGTCTGTGGCCTTGTCCTTATTGAAAACTTCAGGGAGGTCATGGTACTCCTCAGGGACCCTAGAAAGATCCAGATAGAACTCAGAGTTCACCGAATTAACCAACATCTTGGTATTAGCTGACCGTAAGCACGAACTAGAACAAGCAGTGGACCATCCAAGCACTTCCCCCTTTGCCAGTCAATAGGAGTTAGCCAGGTAAAGGTTGTGCTGAGTTAGCCAGGTAAAGCCTAAATGACAGGAACCTGAGGTGAATCTATGATCAGAAAAGCCAGCAGTTCAACATGGTTACCACACACCGACAGCTCAACAGGTTCTGTCAAAAGAGATGACTGGTTAAGGTGAGGTCCATCTCAGGCTAAAAGCTGGCGAGTGTCTGGTTGGAGAAGTTGCTGATGCTGACTTACCTGACCAGATCCCCATCCATGAACTTGGTTTCTAATCCAGAATCCAGAAAGGCAGACAAACCATGGTTACAAGAGCCTACAGACAAAGTCACTATGAGCAGAAATTGTGTGGAGGCATATGGTCTGGCTCGGCCCAACAGGATCCTCCCCTTTCCTACTGAGCCTGTTCTTTTACTGATGTCCCTCTCCACCGCAGTAGAAGCAGAGCTGAATCCTGAAGCACCGACCCTCTTCTCCCTCAGACGGAGGAAGGGATGCAGTTGGAAGTGGATCTCACACTGAGTGAAGAAAGCCTGTAGAAAGTGTAAAGGGGCAAACTGATCCATTTTGCCCCTTTACAGTTCAGGGGTAGAGAGATGTGGTTCATGACACGCAGAGAGAGCAGGCGGAGGCGTGGGCTCAGGCGCGGCAGTATGGGAAGGAACTGAGGCAGCTGACACCTGATTACGCTGGAGAGTGAGAATCTCCTTAACTCCCGATTCAAGCTAAGAGATTTTATGTTCAACTCCCTTGTGCCAAGAGCCATCCGCTTATAAATGGCCAGATTATTCTGTAAGGAACCCAAAAGCTAAGACCCAATATTCAGACAGACTGATCTGGATGATATTGAAAAGGCTTTATTCAAAAATCAAACGCCGTGAGCAGCTGGTTGTCAGGTTTTTATGTGCAGTGATAGGGAACACAGGTCAGTGACTGGAATGTCAGGCTGATCACGACTAAGAGCTAAGTCACTGTTCAGACTGTGACAGATGAAAGGATAGGAGATAGGACCTGGAGGTAAGAGGAATCATTTGGAAAATTTGGAAACAGTCGACCAGCCTAGTTACACTGCGTGATTGCCATAGTAACTAAATCAGACTCCAAGTAATCCGGCTTTATGAAACTGAAATGACAACAAAATAAGCCTTGGCCACCTAAGCTTGACTTATAAACTAAGCCAGTTTTTGAAACATTCGTTTGGTATTGTTTGTCACTACTTCCACTATAACTATTCATCTTGCATGTGACTTTAAATATGAACAATTATAGCAGATTTTACTCAACCACACCCTGATTCACTCACCGTTTCCAGGAAGAGGGCGGTCTTTATTCAGCAGCAGCTCCTCCAGCAGAGCATGATCAGTGGTCAGACCAGTGAGAGCTACAATGATGGAAACATCTCTTCATGATCTGCTCTGTAAGTAAAGAACCTGCCTATGATTAGAGAAACGAATCCACTCATCTGATCAAAGATAAAAATATGATCAGATTTTAGCTTGTGTCATACTTTAGAAGGTAGTATGATAATTTTATATAGATGCTACATTTCTCAAAAAACTATTATAATGCTATGTTTATCTCAGTGCAGCTGAAGTGTAATTTCAAGTGTAACATGTTTGTGCTGTAGACAAATATAATTTCTTTTGGACTATTACTGTCTGATGTAAAATTATATAAATTATTTCCATCTAACAAATATCAGATATAACCAATAAATGTAAATTCCTTTCAGTTCTGACTTCACTGGTTTGCCTCATAACTGATGCAGGTTGGTTCATTTCTACCAGAATTAAAACTCTTCAGACAGAATAAAGGATTTTAATATTAGAGTTGGAGAATAAACATTAGAAAACGTTTATTCCTTCCAGCTGCTCTGACTGTGAGTCCCAGCAGATCTCAGTTCTTTGAAGGAGACTCTGTGTCTCTGAGCTGTGAGGAGAACAACATCTCTGCTGGATGGACTGTATGGAGGAACACAACCAGAGGAACCAGGACTCAGTGTGGAAAGGAATGGGGGAAACCAGCTGGATCTACCAGTAACATCAGTTATGTTTTAGAAAAGGACAGTGGAGTTTACTGGTGTTCGTCCAGAGAGGGAGCAGCCAGCAGCAGCATCCAGCTCACTGTCACTGGTAAGATCAGACTGTGGAGTTAGTGTTGATGAAGCTGTGTGGAAATGGATGAAATGCTGTAGTTTGTCTCTGTGTTGAGGTGGATCAGTGATCCTGCAGAGTCCTGTCCTCCCTGTGATGGAGGGAGATGACGTCACTCTGAGCTGTCTAACAAAGACCACTCCCTCCAACCTCCCAGCTGCTTTCTATAAAGATGGCTCCCTCATCAGGACTGAGCCCAAAGGTCACATGACCCTCCACCATGTGACCAGCTCTGATGAAGGCCTCTACAGGTGTAACATCAGGGGTCATGGAGAGTCTCCATCCAGCTGGATCTCTGTTGAAGGTCAGGATCAAATCCTTCAGTTCTCTGAGTCCTATTATCTGTCTGACACATATTTAATAAATCTTTGTGTTTCAGAGAAACCTGCCCCCCCTCCCCCTGAAACCACTGGACCTCCTCCTCTGTCTAAATATGTGCTGCCATCTATTGCCTGTGTCTGGGTTGTGGTTTTCCTTCTGCTGCTGGTTCTACTGGTGAGACGAAGATGGAAGAGGAAACCTGACAGTAAGAGATTCACACATGGTCAGGTTTATTTCATTAAATATTTTTAAATATACATTTTAAAAGTAGATGGCTATGGGTCTACTATTTTATGATGGGTTTTAACACTAAACACTGACATCAGTCAGTTTTCTTTTTTGTATTGCTGAATTTTTGAATTGTTGTTATTATTGTTTTATTCCAGTTAAAGAAAATGAAGTAGGAGAAGACAGCATCACCTACAGTGATATCAGAATAACTCAGCATCAAAAGAAAAAAGAATCAAGTAAAGGTAATTTTGTTTATAATCAGTGATGATGTTCCTATATTTCTAGCTAGATATTTGAAAACTAGAACTTTCAATAAACTTTTCTTTTAAACAACACAACACTACAGATACTGCACTACATGTTTTTTAGGACTGATACAGATTACATTTACATCAATCTACATGTGTTGCAGAGTTCTTTGTGCTTTACATTATAAAGGTAACATTACAGCACAAGTCTAAATTTAAAGGGGTGATAGAATTATTCTATAGGGTATTTGGTGCTGGTCCTTAATGTCTCTGAATAGGGTTTTGAATATTGGTTGGGCTGAAAATGGCATATCTGCTGTTCTATGAGCCCTAATGCAAGCCTGGTTAAAAGCCCAGAATGAAACGACAGGTTTTCTTCCTTCTATGTAATGCTAATGAATATTTAGATGAGCTTTGTGCTGATTGGTTGGTTTACAACGAGCGAAGCTGCTGAGCAAAGACACATCATAGCAACAAGCACTCAATCACTGAAACATCAAATTGTTGATATGGTAGGGCGACCAGACGTCCTCTTTTTCCCGGACATGTCCTACTTTTCATACCTAAAATAATGTCTGGGGGAATTTAATAATCGTCCCGGAATTTGGTCAACTACCATGCAGCATGTAGTGTAAATCCTTGGAAGACTGTGAAAATGTTCCCCTTTCTCCGGCCAGCCTGGAACACTACATTTACACCCGTGGTTCTGGCTCCTTTTCAATAGAGAAACTGCCTGCTGTGTAATTCTTGCAGAAGTAAACCCAACTGTAGGCTAAACAGCTAAACTGGTTTCTTCCATCTACCTCTATTCATGTTCTTGGGCCTGTGAACCAGTGGGCTGGTCTGTATGTAAATTTCGGGCCGTGACAAAAGTACCCCCCCTTATTTATGCATTTATTTATTTTAATTATTAGTATCATAATTTTTTTTTTGGATGGACAGGATGGGGGGAGGATGGTGGTGTCGGCCCTGTGCCCGGCTGGCTGGTGGGTCCTGCTGCCGATCCCTGGCCCCCGGGCTACGGTGGTGAGAGTGGTGGGGCCCCCCTCTCCAGAGGGGCTCTCGGGGAACGGGGGTGCCTATTGGAGTCAGCGGGGGAGCTGGCTCCCTGGGAGTGCAGCAAGCACCCCAGTCCTTTGCTTCCCATCCCCGAAATCCTCCCTCTGCCTGCTCCATCACACTGCCACACATGTAGGTTTTTGGGGAGGGGGTCGTTACTGGAGGGCCCCACCTTCTGATGATGTCCCCCACCCCAATTTTATTTTGCATTTTAGAGACTTCCATCTACAACATTTTCACAACTCACATCTATGTAGGGTATTTTCTGGGGGGTGGGGGTGATGGCCACCTGGGGAAGGCTTATTTTATGGGCCTCACCACGGTCGGCTCCCTCCACCCCCTCTCGCATCTAGACATTGAGGGTTCAGGGTTGTCGAATGGGGGGGTGCGCTGGCACCGCCTATCTAACGGAGGGGGGGTGGACTGTGCCGGACATCCCCTCTTGGTACTCCTTGTTTTAATTACATCTGAGAGCAACACGCAACAACACCACATTTGAGCAGGCGCAGGGAAGATCAGGGTCTTCTCACACCCCTGTTCTCTGGCTGCCACCCGGAGTCTGGGGCCTGGAGGAAGAGTGAGCCACCTGGTCCGTGGTTTTGGCTAGGGCCGGCTGCGGGGCCTAGGTGGCCTGCCGGTGGTGGGGCTGTCACTTCTGCTCTCCCTAAAGAAGGTTGGAAGGAGGGGCATGAAGTGCCTGGTTGAAGTAGTTTCTTTTGGGGGTGGGGTGGTTGGGGTTCTGGTTGGGTCGTCTGCATGATGAGTGGGCCCTGGTCCCGGGGGGAGCTCTTGCTGGGTGTGGTCCGGTCCGTGTGCGGGGTGGGGGGCCGGACTCGAAGTAGGAATGAGATGGGTTGGTGTGGCGGTGTCGCCGCTCCCCTCCTCCCCATCCGGATTTTAGGTTCACTTATTGGGTCATCCGATAGTCCCGGGACCAACCACTGGGGCCGCTGGGTCTTTGGTCATTGGTATTATTGGATGTGAGTGTTATGTGTGAATGTTTTTTTTTTTTTTTTTTCTGTGGTGCGAGTGGGGGCACTAGGGAGGGAAGGCGTGATTGAGAGTGTTTTTTTTTTTTCTCTTTCTCTCCCACGTTGGGGTCTCAACTGCCCCCTCTGCCAAATACATCTCAAGTCTCCCCTAAGTGCGGAGCCCATTCCCCCTGTCCTGCTCTCCCTCCGCTGGCTGGCGTCGGGGCTCGCCAGTGCACTGGTGGAGCTCAGGGATTTTCGGTGCCGGTGCCTTTGCTTCGATGCCGGTTCCTGGGCGATGCCTTTTTTCGATGCCGGTTTTGTAGTATCAGTTCGGGGAGGAGGAGAGCTGCACGGCGTGGTGAGTTGCAGGTCTTGGGTTTTGTTTTGGGCTCTGGTTTTTCCATTTGCATTTTTCCTCTTGCATAGGGGAATTCTTTTTTCAGTGGGGGGGAGCGGTTGTGGGCGGGACGGTGTCTGGTGTTCACTGTTGCATTGTGAGGGCCTTTTTGCTTGGCGGTTTTTCTTTGGGGAGATTGGCATGCCTGTTTTCTCGGGGGGTGGGCGGGCCTGTTAGGTGGGGGTACTGTTTGTTATTGTTTCTGTGCGCGGTGTGTTGCGTTGTGCACTGTAGGCATCGGTCTTGGTGGGGTGGGGCCTTGCTTTTGGCCTGGGGGGCGTTTTGGGGGGTTCTGCGGCGCTTGCGGCTGGATACGCGTGGGCCCGGGCTGTGGGCGTGGCCGCCTGTGTTTTTTTGCTGGGTGGCGCGGTCACGTTGGGTGTTGCAACCGGTCGCCGGGGCTTGGTACCGGGGGGCGGGGCGTGTTTCGGTGCTCTGTGGGGCCGGGGCATTTTATTTTTATTGTGATTTATTGTGTGAGATTGTAAAAGAAATATGTTATATTAGGCACCATCAGCGACATTATAGAGTAACAGAGTCTGTGTGTCTATTTTAAATACTCAAGTAAATATAAAGCAACTCATTTAAATTATACTGGAATGTCTTTTGTGACATACTTATCAGCAGTTGTAGACAGAAGCTTCAAGAAAAAAATGACATTAAAATCAGTTTTATAATGTCTGAAATGTCTGGCAAGAATGCCAGGAGATGATAAATCCACAGCTGAGCCTTTTCAAAAGTCAGAATGCTGTTTTTCAAACTAAAATCAAATCAAAGTTTATTTATGTAACAACAAAACCAAGGAAACCAAAGTGCTTCACAGAAAGCTAAAAACATCGGAAAAAAAAGACTGTGAAACCGTACACACCTAGAAGTTCTGACTTTTCACCTCAGTATTTTTTGGGTGCTGCGTATGACCCAATGCATGATGACATCTATTTGACTCATGTCTTGAAACTTTGAAAATAAGTGATACAATTGACAGAAAAAGATGGGAAACATGGCAGAATAACTGTGGTGTGATCATGACTGAAAGCTATATATATATATATATATATATATATATATATATATATATATATATATATATATATATATATATATATATATATATATGCCAAGTTTTTCTGCTCTAGTCCATCTATGTCTTGTTCCAGTAACCAAAGAAGCTTGAGAAATACCAAGGGCTGAAAGAGGAGCTAGAAAAGATGTGGAAAGTGAGAGCAGCAGTGGTGCCAGTGGTAATTGGACCACTGGGGGCTGTGACCCCCAAACTGGGAGAGTGGCTACAGCAGATCCCAGGTAAAACATCAGAGGTCTCTGTCCAGAAGAGCGCAGTCCTAGGAACAGCTAAGATACTGCGCAGAACCCTCAAACTCCCAGGCCTCTGGTAGAGGACCCGAGCTTGAGGATGACACATACCGCCCCACGAGGGGTGAGAAAACAGTTTTTTTTTTTTATATATAAATTGTGCTTAGGAGTGAGTGTGTGCATGAATGGTTGTTTGTCCTGTGTGTCTCTGTGTTGCCCTGCGATAGACTGGCGACCTGTCCAGGGTGTACCCCGCCTCTCGCCCATTGACTGCTGGAGATAGGCACCAGCACCCCTCGCGACCCCACTCGGGACAAGCGTGTAAAGAAAATGGATGGATGTATATATATGGGATTTTTTTTTAAAGATTGCATGCTCCACTAAAAAACACACAGATAGAGGCAGATTTGATAGATGACTGGCGACCTGTCCATGGGATACTTACTTTATCTTCTCTTTATTCATGATTGAATCACAAGCGGTAACACGTCAAGGAGGAGATCCAAGACACGTCTCTTACCTGGAGAGTGTCACCTAATCTTTATCTAATAAATAATTTAAGTTCTTGTCAGCATCACAACTATTTCAATCTGCAAATGTTTCCACCCAGAGTCTCAACATCTGATGAATTTATTGGCTTCATATATAAACTTTTATCTTTACTTATTCTCTGTGCATCAGTGTTTTGCTCAGGTTCAGGGTTCAGTTTTCAGATATTGTTATTCTGCACTAACCTAATTAACATCTCAGATCTAATTCTTTTGACAGATTTTTCATTGATGATGTTTTTTAGTAGATGTCAGTGGTTGGTGGTTTCTGCAGGGCTCTCAGTACTGTGGTTTTGCATCATGTGATCATTCAGTTAACTGCCCCCAACATTCTGTGGTTTTCTGCTTTAGTGTTTCAATTAAACTGTGAAAAACCTTCAGAGAGAATCACTTCGCAACCATCAAACTGGTTGGTGCAGTATTTACAATATCTGCAATATTTACTATTTAACCTTAAGAGGAAAGCAGTGATACAAACATCTAAGAAAATAATAACATGAAAATGTGAAAGAATTGAACAGCAACATTAAATTAAAACCTTTGGGCCCAGTTTAAACAGTTTATCTATACAAAAGGTTGGTTTGCAGAGGTTTTATTGCTGAATCTGTTTGATACTGACAATGATTTTATTTACTCTCTAGAAACGGGCATAATACTGTGAAAGAGGACATTTAAGACCTTTGCTGTATATTCGGCCTACAGTTATCCAGAACTTCTGCCAGAATTAGACGTTGAAATTAAAAGTAAACCTAGAATGCGAGTGCAGACGACTCACTATCTTTGAACCTCAAAGTTCTTTCAGATGCGACACATAACAGAAATCTTTAATCTGAAAATTGAGTTTGATTTCTTTCTTTAGTGAACTCAAGAAATGTACGAACAAAAGTTGAATTCTTAACTTCTTATCTTATTAAATTCCTATGTGGCGGTCAAAAGACTGCGTTGCTCCTAAGGCACAGGTGTCAAACTGCTTCCAGAAAGGGCCATGTGGCTGCAGGTTTTCTTTCCAACCAAGCTATAGCACACCGGACTCCATTCATCTCATCAAGTCATCATGTTAAGACTGGACTCACTTGATAAGATGAATGGAGTCTGGTGTGCCATTGGTTGGAAAGAAAGCCTGCAGCCACACGGCCCTTTCTGGAACCAGTTTGACACCCCTGTCCTAAGGATTGTAGCTTCTGTTCTAACGTTCTTCCTGTGTCCTGATGATTTCACACCAAACCAGCAGCCCATAAAAATGCACCACAGTATCTGAAAGACATCAACATAACTAAACATATTCCTATATTACTAAATATGAACAATTAAATTCTTACATTCTTAGATTAACTCAAATTCTGCAAAGCATTAATAAATGGCTCTAACAATAATTATTTCTCTTTTAAATAAACCCAGTATTATTGTTCTTGGGAGCAGATTTCAGGTTTTGTGTTTCATTGTGCTATTTAATTATTTATGTAATGTATTAATACAATTTTTTTCTCAGTGTCAGACAGTGATCCAGCTGCCGTCTACTCAGCAGTGAGAACAGAGGACATTCACTATGGACAGATTGCCATCAGAAAGAAGAAACGGAAGTCAAAACCAAAAGGTAATATCTGTTCTTTTAATCACATTTCACCTATTTTTTTTTACTATGCAATAGGGATTGATAACTTGGATGGAAAGTTGTTCACATCATAGCAAACATTGCACTAAATGATTTTCTCATCTGTATGCATCAGAGTACAGAAACAAATACATGACCTTAGAAACTGATGCATTTACCAGCACTTACTGCCCTGAAACAATCAAATAGTAACTGATTATTTACAGATTTGTTTCTTTATTATTTTGACTATTTTTAATTAAGAGGTGCTTACATCTGAATCTAAAACAGCATTATTCTCTCGTTGAAACTATCTGAGTAAAGCTGGTCTATTTTCTCACAGTGGTTTGTTCTTCTGTGGTCATTGTTTGCATCTGTGCTCTGCAGACGTGTTTATTTTCTACTTTGTGGTAAAACAGGTCAGTTTGCACAGAGAGGTGTAAAGCTTTCAGTGTGAAGCGCTCAGTTTCAGATGCATTCAATGGTTTATATTTGGCCTTTAGCTGCAGAGGTGTTAGGAACAGAAAAAAAAACCATCATCAAATTCTCCTCTTGAAATGTATTAACTAAGTCTATTCATCTATTAAGTCTATTAGTTGCTGTTTATAATATTGATGTATATAATATTCTTACTGTTTTAATGCCTGAAGGTATTTATTTATGCCTCCACTTATTTGCAGCTAGTGACCCTGCTGTGCATTATTCATCTGTGAGGACAGAAGACATCTGTTACGCTCCAATAATGATCAGAGAAAATAAGAACAGAGGTAAAATTCTGACTGTGAAAAAACAGACTGTTTCCATGTCAAACCTCAGCTTTCTATGGTCACCAGCTTAAATAACACACCCTAGATCTGAATGAATGTGGCCAAATTGATCATGCTGAATGATGTTGCAGACAGCAAATTGCTTTTTACAGCGTCTCCAGACTCTGTAATGTCTGTCACATGTGCTCAGTGTGAACCCAATCTCATGTATGAAGTGACCAAGTTCTCAATCCTGGTATTCTCTGGCACGGTATAGTGCATCTGTGGACAGCAGTCCCTTACACCAGCATCGTGGAGTCGGTTTCTAATCGTTTGTTTGGACACATGCACAGTTTTGGCCTGCTAGAGGTCATTTTGCGGGATTCTAGCAGTGCTCCTCCTGTCCCTCTGTTGCCGTCCTTCTCTACATCTCATGAAGAATTGGCCTGTCTGCTGGAAGCCTCTGGAAGCCTCTGGACACTACATCAACAGACACAGCAAACATTCTTGGCGATTGATGTGCCGTCCTGGATGAGCTGCACTACCTTAGCCACTTGTGTGGGTTGTAGAATACTCCACCAGCTACCACGAGTGTGAAAGAACCACCAACATTCAGAAGTGACAAAAAAATCAGCCAGAAAGCATAGGTGGTCTGTGGTCTCCAACTGCACAACCACTCATTTATTTAGTGTGTCTTGCTATCTACTGGATTTGTTGCTTAACATTGTCAGACTTAAGGGAGCTGCTATATCATATTAAAGAATTGAATTGAATTGATGTCTTGAGAGAGAACCACCCTGACCCTTGACCTTTTCCTGTTGCTCTAGTACAGGGGTGCTCAAGTCCACTCAGTAAGAGCTACTATCCTGAAACTTTTTCATGCACCTTTTAACACACCTGAATCAAATGGTTCATTATCACGCCTCTGCTGAGCTAAATGAAGGGATTGAGGCTTTATATTCTGGTGTGCTAGAGAAGAGATGCATCTAAAAGTTACAGGATGGTAGCTCTTGAGGACTGGACTTGAGCACCACGGGTCTAGCACATATCAGACATTCTCAATAATTGACTATTATTTAGTTTTTGCCCCCTTGGTATCTACAGTCTCGCCATTATGGTAACACAGCCCTATAATTTCGGACCATGCTGCAGTTTCTTGTTATGAGGCTTTTAGGCCTTTTTGAGGGACCAGATGATAAGTTTTACAAGCTTTAATCAGAATCAGACATACTTTAATAATCCCAGTGGAAAATTACAGTTTTAGTACAACTCTTCCTCACAATACATCACTTACATTGTGGTGGTGGTGGAGGGGGATGGATTAACTGAGGCCAAGCTGCTGGGTACCCACCGGTTACCTGGCTGCCCAGGTCCTGGCGGTTACCTAGTGCCAGAGATGGGAAGTAACGAAGTACAGATACTTCATTACTGTACTCAAGTAGATCTTTCTGATATTTTTACTTTACTTTACTACTCATTTTTATGGCGACTTTTTACTTCTACTCTTTACATTTTTACACAAATATCTGTACTTTCTACTCCTTACATTTAAAAAAATTTGCTCGTTACTTTAGTTTTGAATCATTTCAATGGAGTTACCGTTATTATTTTTCACGTCATCAATACCAAATTCAATCTAATTGGATGGGAATCTACGTTGCATTTGACGCACCGCTACAAGATGAATCGACAGATTCGGCGGTATTCATTCGCGGCAAATCATTGCAGCTTGGTGGCGGTGGCGTTAGCATAGTAGCATGGACGACGAGATGATTGAAAATGAACACAACGGAGATCTAGACCTATTGGCAGACATCCATTCAAAATGTAGGCAACGGCATGAAAAAAAATGGTTTCTACTTTTACTTTTATACTTTAAGTAAATTTACAAGCCTGTACTTTGTTACTTTTACTTGAGTAAAGAAGTTTAATCAGTACTTCCACTTTTACCAGAGTATTTTTTAACACAAGTATCTGTACTTTTACTCAAGTATGGAAGGTGAGTACTTTAGCCATCTCTGCCTAGTGCTGCCATTGTCTCTGTGGAAAGATAGGAGCCACATTGGGGAAAAGAGGGGGAAAAAAACATTTCACACTTTATCCTTGACAGGATACAGTTTGAGATACCAAAAAACCTCTGCACAAGAAGTCACATGTAAACACAAGACAGACATTTCAGCAGAGGCTCATATTGGAGGCGTAGTCACATGAAGTCAATCTGACATTTGAGACATTTATTGTGTATGTATGATGAGTGCCTTCAATTCAATTCCTTTATAAAATGGAAGTTTATCAACAGTCACTGAGCGCATTCAGAGATGTTTTGCGGGTAGGGGAGGAGGGGAGCAGTGTTCTTTTCCCTTTCATCATAACATCCAGGGGAGATTAGATAGAGGGGGTAGGTAGGATCCAGAAAAACACTTATTGTTTTGACAGCAGGAATTTCCTTCAGCCTTGAGTCTTTGTCTTGTTGACTCTATCAAGGCGAAATCCAATATTCCAAATGTGTTGGGCTTTTCTGCCTTGAAGCGAGCATGCACATCCAAAATGTTATCTCATCTCACCTTTGAGTTCAACCACCACAACCGGCCTGCGTTCAATCGCACCCAGCATACGGATCAGCTCCCGATCTTGCTCGTTCACAGCCTTTGTGAGGGCATCAACAACTGCCAGCGATCCTCCAATGACAGCGTTGTGAAACACACCATCCTTCACGCTTTCCAGGAGTCCATGGTGTATCATACGAAGTGAGTCCCAGCAGGACAGGTCTTATAGTCAAAATCGCTGAAATCGCATATTTTCCCTGTCTTCCAGTTAAATAAATTTGATCAATGGCATTGAGAGACCAGCTGACCCTATCCATTCTTTTGAGTTCCGGTGGTATGAAGAGAGAGCTTAGAAAAGACAAGACACAGCAAAGCAGGGACAGGCAGGGAGGTGCAGGAGCAGCAGGAAAATGTGACCGCCTTCTTTGAGAGTCAGAACAGAAGAGGTTAGAAGTTAAACATAAACAGTTGAGATTAAGAATGGAACCACTGGTAAAAAAAAAAGCTTAAGGATACTGAAACAATTACTTTGCGAATCCTTCTCAACATTTATTTGTAGAACTTGTTAAGCTAAGAGCTAAAATGTTTTATCTACAAGTAAGGCAAATAGAATGTTAAACTAAAGCAGGCCTATTATTAACAGGGTGAGAAAGCAGGTCAATTCTAAAAATATACCAGGGATCCGAGTGTCCTACTGCTGTACCAGAAGCCCAAACAGTCTGCCGGTGCATGCTATTTAGCTTAGTCCGTGGGGAGGGTGCTTAAGGGTGGGTCCCCAGGCCCCCCTGGAGCTGGAGGTTTCCCTGGGAGGTGTGTTGGTGGTTTTTGGCTCTGCTGAGAGTGAACTTCTGGGGGTTATTGCAGCATGAAAGAAACTCCCTAGAATCAGCTCCAGGAAACTCCAGGAAGAGAGGGCTTTTGCAGGAGGCCTCAGGAAGTGTTTTTTTTATGCATAAAAAAACTTAAACCCTCGAGGAAATGGTCTGTTTTAACAAAGAACCAGAGATCTGGTTCTAAAGGGGGGCTTTCCAGCAGCCTATCCAAGGAGGCCTCTTAGGCGGATACAAGCTGCATGAAAGAGACCCCCCTAAAAGAGGCTCCAGGAAGCTCCAGGGAGACAGCCCTTTTGCAGGCAGCCTCAGGAGGTGTGCTTTATGGATCATAAACCTTTAACCCTGGAGGAAAAAGTCTTTTTTTTAACAAAGAACCAGAGATCTGGTTCTAAAGGGGGGCTTTCCAGCAGACTGCCGGAGGAGGGGGAGGCCTCTCAGGCAGATGGAAGCTGCATGAAAGAAACCCCCTACAGGGAAAAAAACTCAAACCCTGGAGGAAATGTGCCTTTTTGACAAAGAACCAGGGATCTGGTTATCAAGGGGACCTTCTCAACAACCTATCAGTGGAGGAGGCCTCTTAGATGGATACAAGCTGCATGACCCCCTAAAAGAGGATCCAGGAAGCTCCAGGGAGAGAGCTTTTTTGCAGGCAGCCTCAGAAGGTGTTCTTTGTGGATAAAAAACCTCACACCCTGGAGAAAATAGTCTTTTATAACACAGAACCAGAGATGCGGTTCTAAAGGGGACCTCCTCGCCAGCCTATCTGAGGAGGAGGCCTGTTAGGCGGATACAAGACACTGAAACCTCTAGATAAGAAAAAAATTAAAAAGTTTGGTAGGGACATGTCACTATGGTCCCTATGCAAACCTACGCCCACTGAGTTTTTATGTCCCATCAGCAAAACTAAATATGTCACTAAGATACATTAAACATAAATGGTTAAGGATATTAGCAGCGATACATTAACACGCATGAGCCAATTGCATGTATCAATCCAGTTTGTACTGGATTGATACATCCAGAGGTGAGGCTTTGCTCACTGCTGAAGCACCTTGCATTTCACACCTGAATTTAAACTGGAAATATGCGATTTCAGCGATTTTGACTATAAAAAGGTTTGCAATTAGTCATACATAAAGATCAGTGGATAAATATTGATATTCGTTTTTTTATTTACATTTTTTTCTGTTTTTAAATCACTAGTTGCTTGTTTTTCTTTTGAGAGTAGGCTGACAGGAAAGGGGAACATGTGGCAAAGGACCACAGGTCAGATTTAAACCGCGTCAAGGACTAAGGCCTTCATACATGGGTCCTGTATGCTAACCACCGAAGCTCGACCACAAATATTAATATATATTTTACGTAATCTTTTTTTTTGTCATGATGACGGTTAGGCTCTGCCTCACCTGCCTCACCTGACAGCACGTCCCTGCTGCAAGCTCATCCAGGAGGAACATTTCGTCCAAGTCAATGACCAATAAGCAATCTATCTGTATGATCTGACTGTGCCGTCTTTTTAAAGTGCCTAAATGTTATGTTTTGTGAATTGGTGCTACATAAAGAAATTGGATTCTTCTTGGGTGTGCCATGACCTTTTCAAGGGAAACCATAGCATCCCCTGGTGGTCCTATTGAATCACCTGTATGCGATTGTTTTCCTGACCATTTTTTACTCAAAAATTAAAAAAAAAACAGTCTATTTAAAGAACAGATATCAGTATTAAAAGGTAGATTTGAAACACCTGACAGTGGAGGAATCTGCTTGACTAAACTAGTCAGGGCTTAAATCCAGAAATAGTTTAAAACCTTTCGTGTGAACAGAACCATGCAGACATTAAAGGGAACATGTGATATGCTGTTCTGAGGCCACAGCATGACCTCATAGGAATGCAAACCACCAGCCATTGCTGATGTTTTCCTGTTAAAGGTAGACTCATATAACTAATAAAATACTGAAAATCTCATATGTTCCGTTTGTCTGAGAAGAAACAGTTACTCATTATGATTTTGTGACTTTTCAACAAATGCAGATTCATTTCTGCTGAACTAAAAATATTATTTTCTCTCTTGTGATTTCAGAGTTTTCTCCTGAGCTGGAGGTTGAATACTCCTCACTGAAGTAAAACCACCAAAGGACGTTCAAAGCTTTCAGCTTTATTTGGGCCCTTAGAACAAACCAGCCCATGCATGCATCATCTTTTTTCTTTTATCACAAATCTTAGGTCAAGGTCTTAGTGCTGCTGA